AGCACAGACAGACAGCAGCAAACTGGAAACTGCTGAGTTTTAACTTTCAACTCTGACTTTATGCCAGTGAAAATAAATTCACTGAATAATGTATTATTACAAATTAAAATATGTACATTTACAATCTCATTACATAATTTCCAGTTTGACATTTTGATAGGTTGATAGCAGATTTGATTAAATTTGGTTAAAAACTAAATTTAATTATAGGTTGAATTCAGTGAGAGCATAAGAAAACAGCATAAAACAAAAAGTCAAAGTTATCAGTTAAGTAAATTTACAGAACATAATTCACGTGTTATCAGGAAGTTGATCCCACAAAGAGAGCGTTAAAAGAAATGTCATAGGAAATGCTTCAGCTTGATTTTAATGTAAGGGTTTAAATTTTGACAAACTAACTTACTGTGGCTATAAATATAAACATGTATGTTGTAATTGTGTGACAAAATATTAAAATGTTGTTTTGAAATTTTATAAAACCTTTTAATTAACATATTATTGTCCTGCTCAAATTACTAAACCTGGTGTGGTAATTTCAGACATCATGTTTCAGGTAAAAAGGTTCAAATGAAATGCACCACTAATGTGGATTCATATAACCTGATGCAAAGAGGGAACTCACATATCTGTCGACACAGAACCGCGGAGACGTAAGGCAAGTTTATTTGTATTGCACAATCTAACAACAAGGTAATTCAAAGTGCTTTACATAAAACATAAAAGCAACAGGGAAATATGTCAAAGTTTAAAAGCAACATAAAATATAATAAAAGTTACAGTGTTACAATCAGGGTTAAAAGAGTTAAATGGAAAATAATAAAAAGCTAAAAACAAAGACAAAGAAACAGGACAGTAAAAGTGCAGTGTAAGTTATCAATAAAAAGAAAAATCTTAAATATTTAATTAAAAGCTGTGGTAAAAAGAAAAGTCTTCAGTCTTAATTTAAAAGAACTGACTGTTTCAGCAGACCTGCAGTTATCTGGGAGTTTGTTCCAGATATACGGAGCATAAAAACTGAACGCTGCTTCTCCTTGTTTAGTTTTGACTCTGGGGACAGAAAGCAGACCTGCCCCAGACAACCTGAGAGGTCTGGATGGTTCATAACGAAGCAGAAGATTGGAAATGTATTTTGGCCCTAAACCATTTAGTGCTTCAAGAGACAGAAAATCAACTTCAAAAAGAAACCCCTGAAGCTAAATCCTCAGGTCCAGGAACCAAATCAAGCAGTTGACGTCTTCATATAAGAAGCCCTGCAAAATCAACAAACCATCCAAAATCCAACACCCTCAGTAAACCGATTTATTACAGACACACTCTTTTAATACATATATTTTAAAAAGGGAACTATTTCTTCATAATCATTTATTTATTCCTAAACATTTATATATCCTATTATTTTAAACAAGACATTGGACCCATGCCTCCCAGGTGTCCCCCAGCAACTTCTCCTGAGCCCTGAGCTATCTCTCCAATCCCATGAATAAACTAACAAATCTCAGAAATAAAAACAGATGTGACAATAGACCTCATAACTGTTTAAGATTTATAGTACTGAAGTTTTTTTTAAAACTTCATTAACTAATTACCTTTTTATTATGATGATTTATAGATTCACCTTCTGTTGAATGATCATTAGGAGAGAAATGTGTGAAACTTCCTGTATCACCTTCATTTACTGATTTAAGAACTGTAATTTCAATTCAATATGTACAGCAATTACTCGTGATATCTTATTATAATAATTACTTTTATTATTTGATAATGAATTTTCATGTAAAAAAATCTGCTGGTTGTCACATGTGAAGATTTGCTGCTTTTCATTTGTTTGTTAATAAAGTTGAGGTTTGGACACAACAAGCATTGTGAAGGTGTCACTTTGAGCTCTGAGTAACTGTGACAGCATTTCTCACTGTTAACAGAATCTTTACAAACAATCAATCAATTAATGGAGAAAATAATCAGCAGATTGATCCAGAATGAAAATAATCATCAGCTGCAGTCTGATAGTTCAAAATGAGCTCCAGCTCAACAACTACAGCAGTAAAATGCTGCTTTATATTAATGTGTGAGGAAAAATAATCTGATGGTAGAATATTTAATAGTACAACAGTCACAGGGACATTAAAGTACATTTTCCTGATTGTACTCACATACTTTTACTTCAGTATTTTTTTCAATGCAGGACTTCTATTTGTAGCAGAATATTTTTACAATGTAGTACTTTTACTGTAGTTTCTGTATACTTGATCCACAACTGCTTTTCTCAGTCTTTAACAAAAGGAAACTAATGATCTGTGATGTGTCTGTTTCTGACAGCGTCCACTGTTGGCAGATATTTCTGTATCTTTGACTTTAAACACAATATAAAACTAAAGTCCTGCTATCAAAATGTTACTTGTGTCAAAGTACACAATTACTAGCTAATTTTACATGATGTTGGCAGGTAAATCTGTATCAGTGTGTCGTATGTTCAGTCTTAATCTGCAGAGTAACCTGTGAGCAATCTGTCAGCTACATGTTTTCATTTCACATGTTTACAATGAAGGAACGATCAGAGCTGTTGATCCTGTTAATGCTGCTCTGATCTGAGCTGGAATTAAAAGCAGCTCAACCGAAACTCACCTGAGCTTCCAGGCAGCCGTCCAGCTTTCAGGTTGGACAGCGAGCATTATGTCCTCATTTAAAACCAGGAAGCTGACAGTCCAGTCTGACTCTTTATATTATAACAGACAGACTTTATATCAGTTATTTGTTGACTTTTGAACAGCTTCCTGTCTTTAGAGCAGAGATAACCAAGAGTCAATAAACCAGATAAAAACAAGATCATCAACTTTCTTTAAGCGTAACTCTGGAGCTGAGAAACAAAAGCGAAAGCTGATGGCTCTGAATGTCTGTCTGGGCATGTCCCTGTGATTAGAAAACAAAATGTTGGGACATTTAGAGGGCAGAGTTTGGCATGAAGCAGCTCTGAGCTCATTTTAACTTCACCATCCCCCACACGTCAGTCTGAGTCAGGATGTGGGTTCAGTTCTTCCTCCTTACTGTTGGCTGGCAGAAACATGAGAACATCATGTGTGTCTGAAGACACAGTTTTGTAGTTTCCCTCTGTGACACATCCACTATTGTGTCCTGTGGTGTATAATATACAGTGGGTACGGAAAGTATTCAGACCCCTTTAAAGTTTTCACTCTTTGTTTCATTGCAGCCATTTTCCAAAAATCAAAAAAGTTCATTTTATTTCTCAGTAATGTACACTCAGCACCCCATCTTGACAGAAAAAAACAGAAATGTAGAAATTTTTGCAAATTTATTAAAAAAGAAAAACTGAAATATCACATGGTCATAAGTATTCAGACCCTTTGCCGTGACACTCATATTTAACTCAGGTGCTGTCTATTTCTTCTGATCATCCTTGAGATGGTTCTACACCTTCATTTGAGTCCAGCTGTGTTTGATTATACTGATTGGACTTGATTAGGAAAGCCACACACCTGTCTATATAAGACCTTACAGCTCACAGTGCATGTCAGAGCAAATGAGAATCATGAGGTCAAAGGAACTGCCTGAAGAGCTCAGAGACAGAATTGTGGCAAGGCACAGATCTGGCCAAGGTTACAAAAAAATTTCTGCTGCACTTAAGGTTCCTAAGAGCACAGTGGCCTCCATAATCCTCAAATGGAAGACGTTTGGGACGACCAGAACCCTTCCTAGAGCTGGCCGTCCGGCCAAACTGAGCTATCGGGGGAGAAGAGCCTTGGTGAGAGAGGTAAAGAAGAACCCAAAGGTCACTGTGGCTGAGCTCCAGAGATGCAGTCGGGAGATGGGAGAAAGTTGTAGTAAGTCAACCATCCCTGCAGCAATCCACCAGTCGGGGCTTTATGGCAGAGTGGCCCGACGGAAGCCTCTCCTCAGTGCAAGACACATGAAAGCCCGCATGGAGTTTGCTAAAAAACACCTGAAGGACTCCAAGATGGTGATAAATAAGATCCTCTGGTCTGATGAGACCAAGATAGAACTTTTTGGCCTTAATTCTAAGCGGTATGTGTGGAGAAAACCAGGCACTGCTCATCACCTGTCCAATACAGTCTCAACAGTGAAGCATGGTGGTGGCAGCATCATGCTGTGGGGGTGTTTTTCAGCTGCAGGGACAGGACGACTGGTTGCAATCGAGGGAAAGATGAATGCGGCCAAGTACAGGGATATCCTGGACGAAAACCTTTTCCAGAGGCTCTGGACCTCAGACTGGGCCGAAGGTTTACCTTCCAACAAGACAATGACCCTAAGCACACCGCTAAAATAACGAAGGAGTGGCTTCACAACAACTCCGTGGCTGTTCTTGAATGGCCCAGCCAGAGCCCTGACTTAAACCCAATTGAGCATCTCTGGAGAGACCTGAAAATGGCTGTCCACCAACGTTTACCATCCAACCTGACAGAACTGGAGAGGATCTGCAAGGAGGAATGGCAGAGGATACCCAAATCCAGATGTGAAAAACTTGTTGCATCTTTCCCAAAACGACTCATGGCTGTATTAGATCAAAAGGGTGCTTCTACTAAATACTGAGCAAAGGGTCTGAATACTTATGACCATGTGATATTTCAGTTTTTCTTTTTTAATAAATTTGCAAAAATTTCTACATTTCTGTTTTTTTCTGTCAAGATGGGGTGCTGAGTGTACATTACTGAGAAATAAAATGAACTTTTTTGATTTTTGGAAAATGGCTGCAATGAAACAAAGAGTGAAAAATTTAAAGGGGTCTGAATACTTTCCGTACGTATGTGCATTTCACGCATAACAGTTTAAAATAGCACTGTAGCTGCAGGACAGAAGAGCAGTGATTGGTGGTTATGTAGGGACTGAACCCTTCTATAGAATTTGACCTCTAACCCCTTGTTTTGATATCCTATATAAGCTGTGTTTGATGTACGGAAAGACAGAGTGGTCATCGGGCTGGGTCACTCTCCAAGCTGCTGCAGAGCTTGTAATTAATGCTGAACTCCTTGATGTAATAAACTTTTATGATCAAGAACAGTGTCAAGCGGGTTTCTTCTCAACACATTATTGCAGCATTATTGTTCGGACACCACAGTCCCTAAGCAACATACTTAACCCCCAGTTGCTCCAGATGATAAATAATATGATAAAAACAGACGTGGGCCACTTTAGGTAAAGTATAACTTGAATAAGTAAACTCCTCTTCTTTACCAAGTTGGTCAGTAAGGAATCTTGTTTAAATTGTTGTTGACAACAACAAACGGTTTGTCATGTGAAAGCACCACTCGTAATCGTTGCCCAGCACTACTTTGTATGTTTTATTTGAATGTCAGTATGTCTGACACACACAGTATTGATTATTTGTTTTATTATTTAATGGTAGTGTAAGACCTGGAGGCTTCTCTGTGGGCCCTCCCTTGAGGCCTCCAGGAGAGCCACATGTCTGACACCACTGTGACGATGCAAGACAAACACAAACACACGCTAATATTCAGATGCACATTTCACCTATTTCACATTTCACATATTGCATTCAACCCACATTTATGTTACAACTGACAACCAGACTATGAGGTGAATTATAACATTTTACTTCTTGTGTTTGAGTCTAAAAGCATTTTCTGTCTGTGTTGCAGAGAAAACACATCATTTATTAGCAAACACACGTGACTAATTTGTGTCACATTTTGAAGGCTGTGGCTTAAAAGAGCTCCAAGGTACAGACAGAAACGTCAAAAATGTTTCAACTCATAATGCAAACTACATATTTTTTCTCAAATCACTCCCAACATTTTTAACATGACTTTTGTTGTTTTTAGAGCACATTAAAGTTTGCTTTGCAGTAACAACTGTCATAATAATATAACATAATTCCTCTTTTCTGTTGGAAGTTTGCATCACATTATAGTGTTCATGTTATTATGTGCACATTCTGTAGCACTTTAATGTCATTACTCATCAAACAATCTTGTAGTTTATATATTTTTGTTGTTGTTTTGGCCTATATGCGTGTAATGCAGTAAACAGTTCAGCTTTCTTTGAAATCACGTGACACATTTCCTCCTCGCTTGTTTGGGCGGGTCTACTGTAAAAACAAAAAACTATACAACAGGAAGAAGAACCCAGTCTGCGCTCTGCTGTCATGGTCGCTTTAACATCAGCGCCATTCGTGGCTTTGTTCGCTTGTTCATGGATCTTTGTTCTGTGTCAAGGTAAGAGGAGTGTGTGTGTGTTGGACTGTGGCGATTCATTGACGTCAACGCCATCGATTATGAAAATACGTAGATTTGCATAACTTGGCCTGGACAACAAGCCGCCATCTTTGGCATTACGGGCTTTTCCCATAGAGCCGTATGTGAGCAGGAAGTGATTGAGTGGCGTGTCTGCTCTGTAAAACGTCTCTGATATTACACAGAGGTGAAATAAATCCATGTCAGAAACATTTAAAGTTTAAATAAAGTTCTGACGGTCTGTTATTATTATTATTATTATTATTATTACTAATATTGTAACACAGCAGTGATGCGGAAGTTAGACTATGTGAGAAGTAGATCAGCAGGAAGTTGATGGATAAATTATCTTTGATTATGTTGATTTATAGATTTATCTTCTGTTGTTGATGATCATTAGGAGAGAGATGTGTGGAACTTATAAACTTATTTACTTACAACTGTTTATTAATTATATGTCTGTGTATTGTGCTGTTTTTCACGGTACATGTAGTGATGCAAGTTCCTAATGGATAAATAAAGTTATTTGAATTGAATTGAAACTTCCTGTATCACCTTCATTTACTGACTTAAGAACTTTCTTAAAAACTGTAGTCTGAACAGTTTATACAGCAATAACTCCTGAAAACTGTCTGTTGTTGTAACTCATATTTTCAATTCTATTTACAACATATTCATTATAATTTATATTCAAATACAGTTTTTTGTAGACTTAGACTGACTCTGCAGGCTGCTGGATATGTTTGTAAAGTTTATTATGAGCTGACTTGTGAACAGAGTCTCCACCTCTGACCTCTGTTCTTGTCCAGCACTGTAGTTTACTGTGTGGACGGATGGACAGCAGAGACCAACATGTGTCCTCTCCCCTCTCGTGGTGTCTGTCCATGCAGATCCAGCAGCTTCATTTGTCTCTCTGAGAAGTAAAGCAGTTTCATACTGTAGGGACTCTTTCCTCAGTAGAAGTAGTTCAGACACAGTCTGAGTAGAGGACGGACAGACTGGGGACACATTTGGAAAACAAGGACAAAGATTCAAAGCTTCTAGGAAATAATAAACTTCACATGTTTAATATTTCAGCTGTTTGTTCAGGCTCAGAAATGCTGATGTCTGTATTCAGATGGGAAATAATATCAATAATCAATAATCTCCAAACAAGCAGAAAGCAGATGAAAGTAAAATGTCTCCTGTCTGATGGTGCGGAGGACGACTTGACTGACAGCTGTAGAAATGAGCAACATGAAGTCAGCGTGCAGCTGCAGCAGAGGAGTTAGTCTCTCCTTTCTGCAGCTGGGACTCAAGTTGTCTGAGAACAGGGTTTGAAATGCTGCTGAGTTCACATGTGCTGTTTTATAGAGACCTGATCTCTGCTGCTTCCATCAAAAGATGTTTGAACAACAGGAAACATTACAAGTCCTGACTGGAGGCTTTTCTCTTTCTGTTCAGGGACACAGGAGCTGAAGGAGACAGTGAAGCCTGGAGAGGACGCCACTCTTCAGTGTCGGGGTCACAGAGGTGCTGACATAGAAGTGATAAAGTGGAACAGACCTGACCTGAAGTCAGATGATATTTATGTCTTCTTCTTCAGAGACAACTGCTCATATGAAAACAACACGCATGAATCTTATCGTGGTCGAGTGAAGCTGAGAGATCCAGAGATGAAGGACGGAGACGCTTCTGTGATTCTGAAGAACGTCAACATCAACGACACTGGAACATATCAGTGTCGGGTTAGAGAGAAAAAGGAGAAAGGCAAAGCTGAACTGATCAGCATCATCATGCTGACAGTGACAGAGCCAGGTGAGTCTCTTTGTCTCTCAGGTGAGTGTGTAGAGCTCAGAGTGTCTCTTTGTCTCTCAGGTGAGTGTGTAGAGCTCAGAGTGTCTCTTTGTCTCTCAGGTCAGCGTGTAGAGCTCAGAGTGTCTCTTTGTCTCTCAGGTCAGCGTGTAGAGCTCAGAGTGTCTCTTTGTCTCTCAGGTGAGCGTGTAGAGCTCAGAGTGTCTCTTTGTCTCTCAGGTCAGCGTGTAGAGCTCAGAGTGTCTCTTTGTCTCTCAGGTCAGCGTGTAGAGCTCAGAGTGTCTCTTTGTCTCTCAGGTCAGCGTGTAGAGCTCAGAGTGTCTCTTTGTCTCTCAGGTGAGTGTGTAGAGCTCAGAGTGTCTCTTTGTCTCTCAGGTGAGCGTGTAGAGCTCAGAGTGTCTCTTTGTCTCTCAGGTGAGCGTGTAGAGCTCAGAGTGTCTCTTTGTCTCTCAGGTGAGTGTGTAGAGCTCAGAGTGTCTCTTTGTCTCTCAGGTCAGCGTGTGGAGCTCAGAGTGTCTCTTTGTCTCTCAGGTGAAGCTGCTTCCTGGTAGTCGAGCTGAGAAACATCACAGATCAGATGTTTGTGTTTTAGAAAGATGTTGCTGATGAGACTTTAGAGGAAACAGCTGCTACGAGTCATGTGATCAAAGTGCAGTAGATAATGTCTGACATTCTGTTCACCTGCTGACAGCTGATACCTCACACCTGTTTCTGCTCTGCAGGTCACACAGCTGGACACAAGGAGGGAGGAGACAAGGAGGGAGGAGACAAGGAGGGAGGAAACAAGGAGGAAGGAGACAAGGAGAGAAATGTTGGACTGAGAGTCGCTCTGCCAGTTTGTGTGATTGTTCTTGTTGTTGTTGTTGTTGTTGTTGTTGTTGTGATCTTTAAAAAATATATCAGACCCACAGGGAATCAACAACCTGCTATAAACAGACATGAACTGCAGAACCTGCAGAGAGATTAAGAGACCAGAGGCAGCAGATGAGAATTAGTGAGGATCCAGACTGAAGTCACTCTGTTTACTGTGGGGAGCAGTGATTGGTCGTTACTCTCTGGCTGCTGATTGGTGGACTGAACGTGCTGCTGGACAGAAGAAACACATTCCTCCTGTAAAATAAACCTGAGCTGTTGACACACGTCTGATTTCACCTGGAGGCAGGTTAATGCCAGATGGGCTGACTGACCAGCAGCTCTGTGGGACAAACAATATGACCTGATGCTGGAACAGCCAGCTGATTGTTAATTACACGAAGTGGTACAGACCGTCGGCACCTCCCCCCACCCCTTCAAGTGGATCCATCCATCCAGGTAGAGTCAGAGGTCAAATACAAATTAAACGGGTAAAGGACCAAAAGAGAGAAAAAGCTCCAAATGTTTTAAATCAACAGTTACTGATGTCAGTGCCGCTCAACATCCTGCTAGCTGCAGTTATAACACTAACAGTCTGTTCTGGATGACGGAGCTGGACTTTGTTCCCAGTCCGACCCTGAAGAGCTCAGTCCCTGTTGTTCACTCACCGACCTGCATCAGCCTCGGTGAACACATCTAAATTTGACGTCTGTCGCCACTGTGGTGTTTTGAAGAGTGGGTGTGGTGGTGCTTGCGTGGATATTTAGACTAAGTTTCTAACAGGGCCGTGTCGACTTTGTAGCCGCGTGTGAGCAAGGTAACCCCTGGCAGTGGCAAATAGCTTTGGTTTAATGTTTGATTTGATTACATTAATGTTTCAGTTGAGATTTACAAGAAATATTTTATTGCTACTGTGTAAAGGGAATTGACTCATCCACCATTGTGTCTCTGAGCAAGACACTTAACCCCTCGTTGCTCCAGAGGCGTGCGACCTCAGACATGTAGAGCAATTGTAAGTCGCTTTGGTTAAAAGCGTCAGCTAAATGAATAAATGTAAATGTTCCACCTACGTGTCTTTACTAACGTGTCAAACTAAAAGCCTTCACAGAGTCGTGTAATTGTGACTTCACGACATTTCATAAAAATCTGAAACAGCGGCTGCGATCATTTTACAAAGTACACAGAGGAAACCCTGCTGAAGGGAACCTTGTTCTGAGTCCTGGCATGAGAACGTGTTGTTTCCTTCTTAAAGCAGAAAGTCAGAGTTTGAAGCTCCTGATCAGCTCTGAGTTCAACAGCAGCTGAAACATTTGGGATTTAATCTTCATCATGGAGAAATACTGCAGACTGTATCATGAGGGAGGAGACGAGTTTATCCTGCTGCTGCTCACAGACACAAAGTTAAACCTGCTTTTAATTTACATTTATTTTGTGGAGTCAGGGAGAGAAAACAGTGTGCTGTTAGCTTTCAAACTGAAGTACAGCAAGATAGTTTCCTGCTTCAGGTCTTCACCTGAGCCAACTGAACAAAGAAACAGGTTTTATTAGAGATCACTCTGCAATGATTCTCAGGAAACAAAACAGAAAGTTGGGATTCAGAGGCTTTCTGCAGTTTGAAGCTAATTTAAGCTAAAAATAAAAAATTATAAAGCAGGACGTGTTTATTTACCACAACAGCGGAGCAGCCACCTCGTGTCCTCCATCTTTACTGAGCAGCAGATCACAGAGCAGCTTGAATTCCAGCACTCTGCACTTCTCGCACTACATTTACAGAAAACTTTGACTTTTATAGCCATTATGTTGCTTTATGTTTGCATAGGTGCTTCTATTTTTTAGCTACTTTTAATAGTTCTGTTTATTTTTTAACTTATTTGTTCAGCTTTGTTGTTTTTAGCTGCAGTCTAATATGTCTTCATACCCACTGCCTCTTCATTTCTACTCTCCTTCAAATTAAAAGCCTCCAGTTTTCTCCTTTCGTCTCCTCTCGCTGTGACCTTTAGGACTAAACATTTTGATTTGAAGAGGCAGCTGCAAAAATCTGCTTAAGGATCTTTGCCTGCTTTTGTTTTAGAACATTTATCACCGTGTGTATGAGTCTTTTCCCAGATGAACCTGACTGTGACGAAGCTCCTGTGCTGCCCCCTGCTGGCTGTCTGACTGCATGTTTAAATGAAGCTTACAAAGTGCATCTCATCCCCTGATTGGCTAAATGTTAAAATCATCAGTCAGTGATTGGCTCAGCTGCTGTACTGACTGCTGACAGACAGAACAAACAGAAAGCTGCTGCATCATTTCTCCATCAGCCACAATGATTTGTATTTAATGAGGACCAGTTAGTGAGCAGTAAACCAGCAGCTGGACATCAGTGGTTGGACTGGTTTGAAGGTGTGAAGGTGTGAAGCTCGACCTCAGTGAAGAGCAGACGACCTCTGGCTCTGCTGGAAACTCTGAACACACAAACAAACAATGTTCTGCTTGGAAATGAAATGAATGATGTTTTTTGCTTAATTTAGCTCGTGTGTGTTTTTTTCAAACACACTCTGACAAACACGCCAAGACAAGCCCCACACACTCTTTAGCTACACTGATACAAGATGAAATAAACCATCTTCCTGAGTCTTTAACTAGAATCAGGCTCTTTATTTATTGGACCACCGGGATTTAGATTCCTCCTCAACAGTAGTTCTGCAGGTATTTGGTCATAAACCAAAGTATTGCACAAATTAAAATGTTGACCTGATGATGACGCTAGAGGAAAAGTCAGAGGATCAGCCAGCGTGATATTACAGTTTGTCCTGAGGGAAACATGAATGTCCATGTCTTTATCACAAACGTAGCTAGCTAACTAGCGCTTCCACAAATAACTACGCTTTGTCACTCTTTCTCAAATCGTTGGTAAATGACGCCCTGTGATGAGAACGGGCTCAAATGTCTCCCACTACTCAGGCACATAAAATGACACAGACCTCACACTGCATAAAAAAGTTAATAATAAAGTTTGTGTTTCTTGCCTTTGAGTCCAAAGTCATCTGAATCTGGTCTTCTCCTCTGGAAAGGTCCAATATTACATTTTTCGCGATCTGCTTGGATCCCCATCCCCATCAATTATCAAACTTGGCAGTGAGGCTACACTAGAGTTTCATGTCTTATCTGTCTTCGCTCTGCAGTGATGTATCAGATCAGTCCGACCAGCTGCAGCGTCTAATCACTATAATGGCTACCTAGTAAGGGGCGTGTCGGTCATTTCTTAATTGTAGACACTGACAATGAACTCCAGGATGTAGCTGTTCACAAATACTGTACAGCAGGGGTTTTCAAAGTGTGAGGCGGGGCTCCCCAGGGGCCTCCAAACAGTTTCAGGGGAGGCTCAGTGAATGGAAGTGAAACAATATTACATTAGTTATTATGTTAGTTATCAAAAGGAGATCACATAGAATAGAATAGAGATACAATAGAACTGTTTTTCCCACGTGACAAGTCAGAAACTAATAAATGTCTTAGGACTGACCTTTTTAATGTATTTGGTCTGAAGTTATGTCAAAACAGTGTAAATCAAGTGTTGAGTGTCTGTGAGATCAAATACCAAAATCATGATCCCACAGGCATCCAGGAATTGAGCGAAACTAAACAAGTAAACTGGGGGCACATTTTCCCAAACTTTGTCTGAGGGGAGGCCTTCACGCTCAAACCCCTGCGGTACAGTGTGTAGCCTAAGCAACAATCTTTGTCTAATAGCTGACTTAGACCATTGAACGGGTCACCATTGCAATCATGGCAACAATCTCCCCCAGCGTGCACAGCTTCTCTCTGGGCAGATGTTTCACCCAGCTGCTATTCATTGTTAATGTTAATGAGCCCATTCACAAGGCCACAAACAACAAAAGTGAAATGACATTAAGGGAATTAGGTTAGAACAGAGACTTACGAGGCGCCATACAAACAGTGAAGGACAAAGAGTTTGATGGCGCATTTGATCATCTCAAATAACTAATACAACTTCTGAATACAAAAGAAAACTGCTCCTGCTCCTGTTGTTTACTCCAGCAGTGTGTCACGCCTCTTTTAGACATCATGGCTGCTGAAAAGACTTTCGTAAAGGATACAGCAGTAAATCCTCCCCCTGCAGGCTTCCTCGATCGTCGAGGTGAATTTTAAGAATAGAGATGTCCTTCAAGATGTCGCAGTGGGATCGATTTCCAGGGTGTCAATTTCTATTTAGTGAGTCTTCTGAAACAAAGAATTTAAGGGTTTTATTCTTTGCAAAGGCTCAGACAGACATTCAGAGTGCAACCAGTGTGCAGAGATTGAGACAAAGAGACAGTGAAGAAACAGGTGACTTTATACTCTGATGTTATCCTGCAGCTGTCTCAGGGAGGGAGGGAGTAGAAACCAACTGTGATGAAGGTCTACCAAACAGATAAGAAACCCTCTAATGAGCTGCTTTCCTATGTGAACTGTGAAACCTAACTACAACATAATAAAGCATTAAGCACCACACAGTGAAACACAGGCCTGTAATAGTACAGCATATAAAGATAAAACAGTAAAACTCACAGGGGTCACAGGCAGGAGGACGGAGGATCAAGGAGGCACAAAACAGTGAAAGCAGTTTCACATTACATCTGCATTCACACACACACATACACATTCACACGCTGGTGGAACAGCCACCAGAGGCAATTCGGGGTTCAGTATCTTGCCCAAGGACACTCTGACGTGCAGCCTGGAGGAGCTGAGGATTGAACCGCCGACCTTCTGATTTAACAGGCAACCAGCTCTACCTCCTGGGCCACAGTCGAGACATAAGACAGTGAGAGGTCCTGAGTGACGCTGATGTTTCCTTCTGAAGAAATGAACAAAGAAAGAATTAACAACAAACAGTTGTCTTTGTGATATTTATTAATGTAAGAAAAACACAGTAAACACTCCAACTGGGGCAGAGACCTCAGACACCCAACAGGATTAGAGAGTCCAGCCAAGAGAAAAGACAAATGAAACATTTAACAGGGAAAGACATTGTGGAGTCTATGAGAAAAGCCTTGATTCCTGGGAGAAGAGACCACATAGGACAAACCAGTCTCAGAGGTGTTCATTAAATTAAAACACTGGTACAATTAGTGTCTTTCTAATTAGGAGCAAAGCACAAACACAATGACACATACAGGAGTATTAAAGTAAATATAGGTCAAATCTTTTTTTCATTACAGGACACAGTTAGACGTTAAGGAGTCCACATGCCAAGTTAGTCTATTTGCTTTTCAACTGTAATTGGTTTTGTTTACAACATTTTAAATGTGAAAGGCATGATGGACGTCCCGAGGAGACATTCTCATTGTTCTGCAGCCATAGCTTGTGGATGTATGTTGTGTGCCAAGTGTAATGTTTACAAATGATATTATTTCTACCTTGTAGCTCTACCTTGGGCGGTTACTCTTTAGCGAGATCGTCCACGCCGCCCTCCATAGACTTATCTTGGGCACCACCAAAGTCAAGGACCTCCAGTAAGTTTTTTTATTTTGTACCCTAAAGGTTTTTTTTAATGGTAGTATATATAAAAGGTATGTGGAGTATGTATAACTCTTATTCTGACTTTTCAGTTTCTATATTCTATCGTGTATTTTTCTATTCTATTTATTTAATGTGTATTTTCTTATCTGTTGTGTTGTGTTTATCTGGAGCTGCTGTTAATTTCCCCAGTGTGGGATCATTAAATTGTATATTTGTTTTCTTATTTTTATCTCCTTATGTCAGTAATGCTTTTCTGTTGGACATTAGCAACACATTATACCAGAGTTCATGTTATTGTATCTGTGTCTCTCTCTATATAAACAAATGTCTGACTCAACCTGACGTTCCGCTATTAGGAGATTAGGTACGTTTGACTTCATGCTGCGTTTCGCAGCACTGACAGAACATGATGCATGGTGGACTTAACATAAGGCATATA